GAATGTCAAAGTGAAGAAATTCAACCAAGCGCGGGTAAACGGCAGGAGTAACTATGACTCTCTTAAGGTAGTCAAATGCCTCGTCATCTAATTAGTGACGCGCATGAATGGATTAACGAGATTCCCATTGTCCCTATCTACTATCTAGCGAAACCACAGCCAAGGGAACGGGCTTGGAAAAATCAGCGGGGAAAGAAGACCCTGTTGAGCTTGACTCTAGTCCGACTTTGTGAAATGACTCAAGAGGTGTAGAATAAGTGGGAGGTCCGTGAGGGCCGCAAGTGAAATACCACTACTTTTGACGTTATTTTACTTATTCCATGAGGTGGGGGCGGGCCTATGGCCCCGCTTCTGGCCTTAAGCGACCCGGTGACGGGGCGCAACCAAGTGGAAGACATTGTCGGGTGGGGAGATTGGCTGGGGCGGCACATCTGTTAAAAGATAACGCAGGTGTCCTAAGATGAGCTCAACGAGAACAGAAATCTCGTGTAGAACAAAAGGGTAAAAGCTCATTTGATTTTGATTTTCAGTACGAATACAAACTGTGAAAGCATGGCCTATCGATCCTTTAGTCTTTCGGAATTTGAAGCTAGAGGTGTCAAAAAAGTTACCATGGGGATAAGCGGCTTGTGGCAGCCAAGTGTTCATAGCGACGTTGCTTTTTGATCCTTCGATGTCGGCTCTTCCTATCATTGTGAAGCAAAATTCACCAAGTGTTGGATTGTTCACCCACCAATAGGGAACGTTGTCGTGTTGTGACACGGCTACTGTGAGAAGATGATGACATGTGTCATCTTCAGAGCTGTTGAGATGACGGCGATATTTTGGCGATATTTTAGGTCGGGATGGCCGGCGGCTCATTGTAAAAAGGCATTAAGAGGCCACGGTTGGATTGTCATCCTAGGGGGGAGGATGTAGATAAGGATCCAAGGGATATCATCTTGGACCTTATCGGATATAAAGCGTGGTTGGAGTCGAAAGGAAAGGGGGGAGGTCTAGAACGTCGCTGACTAAGGAGCTTATCCGATAGAAGTGGAGCCAAAGTGGGACATGGATAGAGGCGGTATGATCCTCGGATATACCGATGCCCAATCCGTTTGTGATAAGCATCCGGTGTCTACATCGTGATCACTTTAGGGGCATGGTTAGTGTATCACTTTGGAGATAGCTTTATGGAAGTGGTGATAAACTCCCCAAGATCCTTTCATTACGCCAATTGTTTCCCTACTGGTAGCGACTTGGGACTTAACGGTCCTACGTTTTGATTTGATATTAGCATTATGGACCTAAACTTGCCGATAGTGGCGCCTTTCAACACATGGGTCCCCTGTCCATCACTTGTCTACCAAAGGCAAGTCATAGGGAGTTGATTGTTAGGAATTTTGGCGAGGAGTATTATACTCAAGTTATAAACTCCCGGTCCCTTTTGTTGTTCGTTTATACTTAACTTAGGTTTCGAGTGGTTATTTTGACTCTTTATTAGCAACAACTCGTATTACCTATATGATGGCTAAGTAGTGTTTTTAGGCTAGTTGTTAAGCTCTAAGTTAGTTGTGGCTAATTTGGCCCACTAGAGGTCAAAATGGAACTCTTCATTCTCATTGGTTGGGAAATTTAGACCAATGAGAGCACTTGGGCAAGTTCTTCGGGGTTTTGAGGAGTTTCGGGAGCCTTCGAAGAGAGTTTTTCAGAATTGAAGGATATGGTTGGAGGCTGATGAGGAGAGCTAGGATTTTGGCTCAAGAATGAAGGCGATTGAGCAAGTTGACACTCCGGTGTGGTGATTTGAAATGGGAGAGTGAAATTTGGACCGATGGGAGAGTTTGAGTGAATTAGGCGTTCTATGAAGGCTTTGACAGATCGGATTCAATAGACATAGAGTTTACAACTCGAATTTGCGATTTGATTGAAATTTCAGCTCGATTGGTTGAGTTTTGAGGGCAAAGCAGTAGTTTGAAATTTATGTACATAGTCTGAATTGCAGGATTGCACAGACTGTTACAGATTTAGGTCGACAATCATAACTCATGCTATCAATAAGATTGGTCAATAAAACTTAACAGAGTTGAAGCTTGGATAATAAGTCGTTTTCTTGCGAAATTTGAGTGCAATTGGATTAAAGGATTGGAGTTTATAGTGGTTTTAGTACGCAAGGGTCTGCATATCACCTTGTGACACAGGGTATAGTTCGACATTTGTAACAAGAGATCTAGAATTGAAGAGCATGTGAAACTTTCCTGAGAGTTATGAATGGTTGCAAAGTACTTTTCTGTGAAGTTTGGTTAAGAGTTAACGGTTCAATCGTTGGTTACAACGATCCTCTTCCGCTGGAGTTTACCGGGTGCAACGAGTTGGGCATGGAGAGATGAGGAGATGAAAGAGAGGGTGATTGTCAGTTCACACAAGGACGAGGAGAGTTCTTCTACAGCCAGACGCTCAGGCGTTCTCAGAGTAAAGCTTTGTCCATGCGACAACGTGAGCTGGGTTTAGACCGTCGTGAGACAGGTTAGTTTACCCCCTTGATGATTTCCCGGCGCCTTAATAGTAATTCAACTTAGTACGAGAGGAACCGTTGATTCGCATAATTGGTAATTATGTTTGGTTGAAAAGCCAGTGACGCGAAGCTACCATGCGTAGGATTATGACTGAACGCTTCTAAGTCAGAATCCATGCTAGAAGCGGCGCTTTCTACCTCCCCGGTTTTCACCCGACTACCGGTAGGGGCGGCTCGTCCGTCCCCAGAAGCATGTGTCAAGAGTTTCCCCGGGCCAGCGAAAGAAGTTGGGTCGGGTGCTTTGAATCGCAATTCCAAATGATCGGGGAGATGAATCCTTTGCAGACGACTTAAATATGGGACGAGGTATTGTAAGTGACAGAGTAGCCTTGCTACTACGATCCGTTGAGATTCAGCCTCATGTCCCAAAGATTTGTTTCCTTCCTTCTTTCTCTCTCTCTCTCTCTCTCTTTTTTTCTTTGTCTCGCACGAGATCAAGGCACCGGTTCGAGACACTGACCCCAAGTGTCTCGCTATGTTCTTCTGCCAAGATACACTTGGAAAATGAATTTTTTCCCCGTCTAAGTGTCGGGTCGGTGTCGTTTCAGCCGACTTGCGGTTCTACTTACCCTTTCGTTCCGGAGATTATGAGTTGGAATGTGTGTGTGTGTGTAACATTGCGCCCACTTGGGGGAAGCACCCTTGTGCTAAACCCTAAACCCTAGCCCCCCGGTCGGCCGGTCGGATAGGTGAGTCAATCCCAGTCTTACCCGTTCGCTTGGGGTGTTTGGGAACTGTAACATTGCGCCCCTCCTTCAAGAGTTCAGACCGTCGTGGTAAGTCTTCCCCCCCTTGTGTTGCTGGTCTCCTCCCTCCGAGTAAACTACCAAGTGTTGGAGGTTTTGTAGTCCGGTGTGAAAATTTTCTATCCGGTGCTAGTCCGTGTCGGCTAGCACTTAGTCTTCCGACTTCTTTGCGAGTGGAGACTCGCTCCGCTAGCTTATCTAGCGCTTACCTCTTCTCACTTCAGCCCATTGGCATTGGCCACAGGCCGGGCTTAGTGCCCCTCCTCACTACCCAACACTTGGATTTTTCCCAAGTGTTGGAAAACCAGTCAATCTGTCCGATTTGTTGGCCAAGTGTGTAACGAGGGGCGCTCTCTCTCTCTCTCAAGTGTTGGTCGGTGTCGGCCCGGCACTAAGTAGTGTCATCCGACTTCTTTGCAGTGGAGACTCGCTTCATTTTTCTCTCTCATTTCCGCCCATTGGCCGGCAGGCCGGGGGGTGACCCTTAGCGCCCCTTTTTTTTTCCCTTCTCCTCTCCGGGGTATCACTCTAGGCGTTTGTGGATTAGGGACCCTTCTGGTGTACTCTTACCCCAAAAGCTCATGCTACGTTGGGTTGGCGCTATCCCCTCCTTGAGGACGGTCCCGACTTTTTCGGATATGTCTTGGCCAGTACGACTCAAACCCCTAACTCCATTTGCGGCTAGAGAGGTCTTCCTTTGTTTGCGCCAGATTATTACACTGACTCGAGCTTTGCTTTGACCCTTAAGGTCTTGATTGTTATGCGCCCCAAGGGGGTTTGGGCTCTCGCCGTTTCTCCCCTAAAAGGTCTTGGCCAATCGGATGTCTCCTGGTTCGAGCAAGGCCGGGCTGGTTGTCTCGCCCTTGGGTTGCGCCGAAAAGGTCTTGACCCAGTATCATCTATCTCACGGGTTCGACCATTGTTCCCGGCTCACTAGCACTTGGATTGCGCCAAAAAGGTCTTGATCAGAATCGGTGTCTCGCTGGTTCGAACAAAGTGTCCCCTGGCCGACTTGCCCTTGGATTGCCCCAAAAAGGTCTTGGCTGGAATCGGTGTCTCATGAAGTTCGACCATTGTTCATGGCTCACTAGCGCTTGGATTGCGCCAAAAAAAGGTCTTGACTAGAATTGGATGTCTCGCGGGTTCAAACAGTGTAAACTCGGCTGACTCGCCCTCGGTTTGCGCCAAAAAGGTCTTGACTGATTTGGCCCAACTGCAATTTTCGGCGCAAGTTAGCTTGCGGGTGTGGCGCTAATGGGGTTGGTCGCTCGGGCGCTAACTAACTCCGACCCTCCTACCCCCAAACCGACGTGATTGTGCTAACTACCTCACTAACCCCTCATCCCAAGCCGACCTTGTTGCCGAAACTTGCCCAACCGCTTGTTTATTCTAGGCGCTAACTAGTGCAACGTCGGTCATCCACCAGCGCTAACTTAGGATTCGAACCCTCATACCCTAACCGAACTACCAGCCCACCTAATGACCCACCTGACTCACCTTTGGACTTAGCGCTTTGCTAGAACTCCACAACATCCGCTAACTGGGACGGGTCACAACCAGTTTGGTGGAATTTTTAGCTACAGCTAACTTTGACCGTGAAAATTCTAGGAACTCCGAACCACCCACGGGGTGGGTGGGGGGCTTCCTCCTCCACCTTCCTACTGCTGCCTTTATGTTCACCTGAAACTCCTACATTGACGTGATGCGGTCATACCAGGGCTACTACACCAGATCCCATCAGAACTTTGCAGTTAAGCGCCCTTGGGCCGGAATAGTACTACCCTTGGGCCGGAATAGTACTAGGATGGGTGACCTCCCGGGAAGTCCCGGTGATGCATCCAACTTTTTTGAAAAATTTCCAACCTTCTCGACTTTCTACCCGATAAATGTACAATTAATTAATGTACCCGATTTTTTTCTTTTTTTCTTTTTATTTTTTCCTTTCTTGACGTTCAAATAAAATTAACACAAATTTGTCATCGGAATGAGAGGACGAATTCTCCCCATCGTTGGTTTACGCATCACAGGTACTCTCATCATTCGTTGTCTTGACATCAAGTACTTGCTTGATTCCTCGTTCGTACTTATTTTGTAGGTTCTTGGCACACCACTATACCAGTCGTCGATCCTTACTTAGATAACCGTTCGACACCTTAACAACTCGTGTGACTTTCTACATTACTCATACACTTTCTAGTTCATCATATTCGTAAAAATACACTCCGCATTCCCCTGAATATAACACTTTATTAACAAAAAACAAAAAAAATCCTACTCATGCATTCCAAAAAATTCCACAAGCAACTAGGAAGGAAAAAAAATATTGCAAAAAAATGTTGCAACAATGCTATTGCAAAGGTTACTCCGATTGATTACAACCACCTACCTTCAAATTACGATCCAATGTGTCTACAACTTCGTACTCCTACCGCTTCTTTAAAATATTGCTTATTGTCCTTTGTATAGAAAACTTTTGCAAGAAAAACTCCTGTGCATCCCATTCTATCAAAGTAGCTTGAGAAATGATGGAAGATGTCTGTTTTTTACAGATTTTGAGCTTCACTTCCATAATGAGATTAGGGGAGGACCGCTACTTTTCTAGTAGAGGTGTTGGGGCCATGGTTGCTTTCTAGGGCATGAGGGTTGAATGGTAAGAATGGTAGTTTTTATATATTATATGATCTATTATTAGGGGAAAGAAAACTTTCGTGTCATATTGTTCGTGATTTGTGATTGAAAATCCAATCAATCAAATGACGAACTCACGTATTTAACAATATATCAATTAAAAGAAATACCTCCAATAATTATTTTCCTCTAATAATTGATGCTTTCATGATCCATGGATGGTATTAAATTTGAGAGGTTTGATTGTAGAGTCTTTTTACTACATAGATAATCAAATACTCAAACGGATGAAAAAAATGAATCACACATAATTTACTATATTGGTGAGTTGTTGATGCGAATTTGCATCATTTAGAGGCCGAGTTTTAATGCGATTTCAAAAAATTCATTGATTTTTTTCTTTTTTTGGATTTTAATTTTGACAAAGATTTTCCACCCTGCACATTTAGCATTGATAAAATTTTGAAAATTAGTGAAAAACAAACCTTATTACATCTCCATCTTTTGGTATTTTATGTGTTTTATTTATCAAAAAATAAAATTTATCATAAAAAATTAATGATAATTATTATACAATTCTCATATACTTATTTTAAATTTAAATAGTTAGTATTTTAAAAAGTGCTTGAAGATGGTATAACACACTAGCACAAAGCATGTTGACTTTTGGCTCTACATGCATGTAAATGTCTAAAACTTCTTTCATCTACTTCACAAACATACTTAAAGAAGTAAAATTAAACATAAACTTCACAATTAGTTTCTGTACCACTACTTGCACATTTCGGATAAATATATCTCCCCAATTCACCTTGTTTGATCCTCCCACAAATCCTTCCACTATTCTCACCTTGTGCATGTTCACATACGTGGATCTTTGGGTTGAGAATAGTTGATTCAGGATATACATCATCTTCCTCCTAAATTTGTCTTAAATGAAATCAATCTCGAATCCATTCGTTCCTTTCCTTCCCCGAGGATCAAATCATTTCGATTTGTCAAAGTTAAATCCTATGTACAGCGCCGACTCTTCCCAATTGATGTCATCCTTCTCCTTAGTGTAGTCTCTTCCCAATGCTTCAGCCCACAAAAGTGCATCCCACGAATCAGAATGTCCTCTCCATCCTATCAGATTTGCTGCCTTCTTGACTCGAACTTCCTCACACAACTCTGGGCATACGTAGTCTCATCGCCATGCTAGGAAGGCTTCTCCTAAGTTCTTTAATTGTAATAACTCTTTCGCTATCCAATCGGACTTGTGCATCATAATTTATTGCACAAAAAACACAAAACATTATGTTAAAGAACAACAATAACAAAAGGAGAAGCAACGGAAGGAAAAATTGTTGCTCGAAGAGGAGGAGAAGAAATAAGAGCAATTTCATGTGTCTAATATTGCAAGTATTAAATCCATGGAGAATAAAAAAGCAAGATGGAAATGAGATTCTTCAACCATATGTAACAGATAAGTTACACAAAGGAATGCCGAATATAGTGAAGTAGAGTTCGTTCCCAAGAGAACATAGCATTAATTCACTACTAAGGGCAAAGATGTGAGTTTATACTTCTTTTCTTCACTCTGGACATTCACAGTTTGAAGAGCATGCAAATGGCTAACACTCATGTACACCATTCGATTGAACCATTCAACACTCATCCATGAAAATGCACATTTGCGCAATGAATTAAGATACACTTTGAATTTATTGATGGTAAAAGAGATCTTCTTTATTACAAGTTGAAATCGAGACGAGAATCCAACAAAGTTCTACTAGTGAAATCTCAATAACCATGGCTCATGGGTAAATATCTGGGTATCTTCACATGTATTCTACTCCAATTTATGCCAATCGAATGCAACTCACACCAGCTTCTTGAGCTCTCGTTCTACCCTTCCTACACTTGTGGCTCAACAATGAACACTTGTAATAGAAGGAGATATCTTTCACTAAATCTACTCTTACTTATACACATTTTTACTCTTGTTCATAACAACTACCTACACGAATCACTCTTTTCTACTTCTCCAGACAAAATCTGCATCCTTTGATGGCGATTCCATCTTCCAAGCAAATGCATCGACCCTCATCTATAACTTCAGGATGTCCTCAACAATGTCCTTTTTCTGCACACGTATCACTTCCTAACATTTCCGACCCATGGCTTTGTACATCTCCTTTTGTTTTTCCTTCAAATCGACAAGAACGTTCATTACCTCAGTAAACTGTTCCAACCGCTTCGCTTCAATTTTGTCACATCGGGCAAAAAGATATTGTGAATATCTACTCGTCAAAACTTCTAATCTAATTGGCCTCTATACGTCGATTTCATGTAGCTGCCGCTTTCCATTATGTAATTATTGACAAAGCTTTGCATTCTTTGCCTCCACGAATTTTATCTTTGTTCCCTTTATCTTACAGATCTCCCCGTAAGCCATCTTTGCCTTTTGTGTCTACTTCTCCTTCCCTGCCTTCTGCCTCTCCAAACGCTCCACTGACTCCATCAACTGCTTAATTGTCTACGTCTAGTACTTCTTTCTTTGTACAGTGCGGTCCATTATATGGATCAGGTCCATGTACCCATCTTCTTGTGGGTTCCACCCTTGAATGTAGTCGGTCCCCATCTCGTTTAACTCCATAAGAATTGACAGCACTACATTCTCCAATTTTTGTGCCAGCAGCAACATATAGGAAATCGGTTCTTTTCCATCCTTTACTTTAGGCAATGATACCTTTAGTATCCGGCTTTGGGGCCACGCAATTTCTTTCATCTTTCTCTTCTTCGGGACTGGTTTTCTGATCTCTTCCACACTCTGGCTCCGCCTCACCACTTCTCCAATTGAGTCACCCTTGCCAAATACCGACTCCTCAATGCACTGCATGACTTTGTTCAACTCATCCAAAGGCATCTCACGGAGGTTTAGTTTTGATGGGGAATGATCACCCCTGTCAGATTGTGGGTATTGGATCTGTTAATATTCAGATGTTCGATGGTATTGTGCGCACATTCACTAATGTCATGCATATCCATGACATGAGGAAGAACTTGATTTTTCTTGGCGTGTTAGACACAAATGGTCATCAATGGGAAGTAGTTGATGGTGTACTTTGAGTCATGGCTAGAGAAAAAGTCGTCTTGAAGAGAAATAGTCACAAGAATCTATATGTGCTAGAGGGCAATACTGTTTGTGGAGAAGTGCATGTTTCTAGATCTTAAGATTAGATTAACAACTTGTGACACTTACGGCTAGGTCACATTAATGAGAAGAACATGCTAAACGACGGTCTAATAGTTTAGAATTCTGTGAGCATTGTGTTCTAAGGAAGCAACATCACATTGCTTTTGGTGTTGGAACTCATAGTTCCAAGGAGATGCTTGAATATATACATAGTGACATGTTGGGGCCATCCTCTACTCCCTCACATTCGGGAAATGTATCTTTCATCGATGATTATTTGAGATTTTTATGGATTTATTTCCTACATCAGATTTTGAGGCTTTGTCACTTTCAAGAAATGGAAAGTCAAGTTGAGACTCAGACCGATAAGAGAGTGAGATTTTTGCAATCAGATAATGACGGGGAATACACTTCTGAAGAATTTGAGGTGTATTGTCAACAAGAGGGGATAACTCACCATCTCACTATGGTATATACTCCATAGCAGAACGGTGTTGTTGAGTGGCTCAATCAAACACTATTGGAGCGGACAAGGAGTATGTTGAGCAATCAGGTTTATCACATGCGTTTTGGGTTGAAGCTGTTAACACTACGGCTTATTTGGTAAACCTTTCTCCTTCCAGTGCAATTAATTACATGACGCCGTTTTAGATGAGATATGAACGGCCGGTAGATTACCATCGATTGGTAGTCTTTGGATGTTATAAATATCCTCTCACACCCATCATCAACTAGTAGGACGTCTGGAAGCTCTATTCATGCTCCTAAACAATTTGGCCAATGGGTTGATTCAACTCAATTAGGAGATGAGGATATATCTCTTGATGATGTCAATGATATGGCTTTGATCTTGGAAGAAGTGGAATCTTCTTCATATGATGAGGTTCAAGCTTCTATGGACAAGCTAGAATGGGATGCAACGATGCATAGGGAGATGAAGTTTAGCCTTTGCTTGGTCCATCCATCTGCATCTTCATTACTCATTTGTGAGTGTGGTACTACCTTAGATGCAGCAAGGGTCCATATGACTCGTTGT